CAACATTACGTGTACATTTAGTTTCACTCCCCGTTTACCATCCCCAACCCTAATCCAGTCTCCTCCCCTCCCAGCCCAGTAACCCCCTCCCACAAGTGTCTCTCACAGTTATGCACTCCTGTGTGTCCTGAATTTCCATTGCCCCTCTGGTGCCCTGTGGTTGACTGCTCCAAGGGATGCATTTCCATAGAGTATATGGGTGTGTCACCCTGGGTTGAATAGTCTGCCTGTATATCTTGTTTACTATTGAACTGAAAGCCAGCTCCTGGGAGTGAGTTTTACTGCAGGACCAGAATGTATCCCAGGGCCATAGTATTAGAGGTCTCACCAGACTCCATTCGACCAGTAATTCTGGTCCAGATTTGATTCTTTCCTGAGTGGTCAGCATTGGTAGCCGGGCACCATCTAGTTCTTCTGGTCTCGAGGGCCATTATAACAATTTTCATCACCTTAATAAGATACCCCAGACCTTTAGCTATCACTCCCCAGTGTGGCAGCAACCACTGATCTACTTTCCCAGACCTTAGCAACCACTAATTTACTTTCTGTCTTTATAGATTTGCCTACGCTGGACACTGCATATGTTGCTGTTGTTATGTGCCATCAAGTTGGACCCGACTCATAGCGACCCCTCCTTGGGTTTCCGAGGCAGTATCACTATGGAAGTAGATTGCCCCATCTTCCTTCCGAGGAGTGGCTGGTGGGTTTGAACTGCCAGACTTCTGATTAGCAGTCAAGTGCCTTAGGCACTATGCTACCAGAGCTCCTGATATTGCATATAGATGAAAATATGTAATATGTGGTCTTTTGTGACTAGCTTCTTTCAGTTTTAATGTTTTCAAGGTGATTCATGTTGTAGCTTGTATGAGTACTTCATTTTTCTTTTTTTAATGGTCGAATAATATTGTATTGTATGGAATGAGGGCCACAATAGATGGACCTGGATAGAACCAGGGAAGAATGTGAAATGAACTCAAATTTTTAAAAGTCCACATTTCCTGACTGAAGGACCCTGAGATCATTTTGCCCTGAGATGCTCTTTTAACCTAGAACCAAAACTATCCCAAGGTCACTTTTTAGTGATGTAACAGATAAAACTCACTGCCGTCAAGTTGGTCCTAACTCATAGCAACCCCTCCTTGGGTTTCCAAGGCAGTATCTCTACGGAAGTAGATTGCCCAGTCTTCCCCAGTCTTCCTTCCGAGGAGTGGCTGGTGGGTTTGAACTGCCAGCCTTCTGGTTGGCCGTCAAATGTCTTAGGCACTACACCACCAGAGATCCCAAAACAGACAGGCACAGAAAATAGGCCCTGTCAGTACAGGCTCCATTAAAAAAAAAAAAAAAATCTATATGAGACCAAAAGGTCACCAATTACTGTGAAGCAAAGATGAGAAGACAAGGAGGGTAGAAGCAGAACAACCAGAATGCAATTAAAAAGAATGTTGATACACTGTGAAAAATGTAATTAATATCACTAAACCACTTGTGTAGAAATTGTCAAGTGGAAATCTAATTTTCTGCGTAAACTTTCATCAAAAACTCTATAAAATATTATTTAAAAATATTCTATTGTATGGAAATACCACATTTTATTTACCTATTTATCAGTTAAAGACTCCTAGTGGCACAGTGATTTAGCACTTGGCTGCCACCCGCTGCTACATAGGAGAAAGATGTAGCAGTTTGCTTCTGTAAAGACTGCAGCCTTGGCTACCCCATGTAGCATTCTATCTTGTCCTATAGGGTTGCTATGAGTAAGAATAGACTCAACAGCAACAGGTCTGGTTTTGGTTTTCTTATCAGTTGGTAGATGTTTGAATTATTTCCACCTCTTGGCTATTATGAATAATGCTTTTATGAACATTCATTTACAAGGTTTTGTGTGGACATACGTTTTTATTTCTCTTGGTTATATACATCAGAGTGTAATTGCTGGGTTATATGGCAGCTTCCTATTTAAACTCTATGTTTAAACTTTTTGAGGACCTCCCAAACTGCTTTTCAAAGTGACTGCACCATTTTATGATCCCGCCAGCAATACATGAGGATTCTAATTTCTCCACTTCTTTATCAACACTTGTTATTGCTTATTTTAGTCATCGTAATTACAGGATGAAGGAGCTCTGGTGGTGTAGTGCCTAAAGCACTTGACTGCTAATCACAAGGCTGGTGGTTCAAACCCATCAGCCACTCCTCAGAAGGAAGGTTGGGCAATCTACTTCCGTGGTGATATTGCCTTGGAAACCCAAGGAGGGGTCGCTGTGAGTTGGATCCGACTCAACAGCAGTGAGTTTGGTTTTCGGTTTTGTAATTATGGGATGTGGTATCTCATTCAGTTTTGAAGTTCATTTCCTAACGATTAGTGATGGCGAACATCTTTTCATGTGCTATTGGCCATTTGTAGATCTTCTTTAGAGAACTGTCTATTCAACTCCTTTGCCTGTTTTTAAATTGAGTTATTTTTTCTTTTAATTGTTGAGTTGTATGAATTCTTTATATATTGTGCCACCACCCATTTTTATAAATAAAGTTTTATTAGAACATAATCATGCATTTGTTTATGTATTTATTGTCTGTGAAGCCTAAATTATTTCCTATCTAATCTTTTACCGAAAAAATGTTTTGACTCCTCATTTAAAATGAATTATTGAGAAAGAATTAAACCCATGTATTTATAGAAATTGTTGTATATAAAGAAATTGTTGACAGAAAGTAGTATTTAAAAAATCAGTATAAAATATGAGTTAATAAGTTGTTATAATTTACTAGCTATATGAATAAATAATAAAAAAGAAGAAAACTAGATTCCTATGTTAGATAATACATAGAAAAATTTTATAATCTAAAACAATAAAAGAATTAGGATAAAACAGAGAACATTGCTAGAATGTTACGACAGGGGAGACCTTTTCTTTGACAGGTTTGATCACATAAGAATTAAATAACATCATTAGTATAAGAGGTACATGGAATAGAGATATAGGAAAATAATTGCAATATATAAACAGACAAATGAATAATAAATAACAAGTTCCTAGAAATCATTTTTTAAGAAGTGGCAATGGATATGAATGGGAAGTCTGCAAAAGGAAAACAGGCAATGCTAGAATTCAACAGTAATTGGAGAAAACCAAACCAAAACAATGAGATATCCAATTTGTCACCCATCAGATAGACATAATGATAAAATGACCAATAATATTATACATTGGAAAAGATTCAGGAAAAAAGTGGTCTTCAAACACAGTCATGGATAAATGTGGTATTTGATTCTTCCAATGGGACAATTTCTATTCTAGGTATCTGTTCTATGCATGAGCATGCTTACAAAGAGGTATTGACAAAAAAAAATTCGTTGTAACAGTGTTTGTAATAACAACAATTTATAAACAATTTCAAAGCGCACAAAAAGGAGTCTGAAAAAATGAATTTTGGCAAATTCATACTATGAAATATTTTGCTGCATGGATAAAATCTCTATATACTCATTTAGAGGAGCTCTGATGATCCAAATAATTAAGAACTCATTTACTAACCAAAAGGTTGACTGTTCAAGCCCATTCAGCAGCTCCACGGGAGAAAAGACCTGGTGATTCACTCCCATAAAGACTGCAGTCTAGGAAACCCTATGGAGCAGGCAGTTCCACTGTGTTACATGGTCACTATGAGATGAAATCAACTCAATGACACCTAACGATAATGACATATTTGCTTGGAAAAGATTTCTGATACACCAGATTAAGAAAATAAAAATGAACTCTTAGAAAAATACTTTTATTTTTATGTAATTTATACTTTTAGAAAACTGAATAGACAAATATATTTATATAAATGAACAGGAGAAATGAATAAATCATATATACCAACTTTTGATAGTAATCTCTGGGTAGGAAAATAAGATCTGGACAAGAATACAAAAGACTTTGACATTTTGTATAATTTGATGTTTCATAATGAGCATGTAGTTGTATGTTAGTTGTACAATTGAAAAAAGTCTACTACACTCATGTATAACTTAAATATAGGTTGTAGCTGATTTTTTTTATATGCTTTTCCTTAGAAAATATGGAAAAATTTTTCTTTGAAGTCATAGAAAATATTTTCAATGCTTCAAATAATATCAAGGAGGAATAAATATCATATTCCTCAAATCAAAAACATTGATTTTAAGATATATAAATAAATTTAATAATAGCTTTTCAAGAAAAAACAAAACATACTATCACATTGAATGTATAAAATAATAAGATGTATTTCAAGTTGACAAATGTTAAAATGCTAAAAATATGCATTTTTTGAGTCTAGGAAATAAAATATATATTTATTATATATACAAATATGTGTATATGTACTACATACATATACTTACACACATGCACATGATATATAGCTATATAGCTACATATAGAACACAGAATATAGTCAAAACAAAAATTAAAATTACTGAAAGCCCACAAATCATTTCTATATATCTCTATTTATCAAAACTTAAATAAGTTTCAATATTTATATATTTTTAGCACAGGGTAATTTTAAGTAATACAAACATCTCAAATGTAAGTAGAGAAAAATAAATTTAACTATTAGGATAATGCATATTGTTATGTGCTGTCGAGTTGGACCCGACTCATAGTGAATGGATAATGCACAGTGCATGCAAAAATTTATGTGAGACTCTAAAATAGCCAAGTTTTTCTAAAACTGTCAGTTTTCTTGCAAGAAATATTTCTTTAAATAATATCTGAGGTTAACTTTTTAGAAATAATGATAATCACAGTAGGCATCACATTTTGCAGAAAGTAAGTAGGTAAGTAAGATTCCAAGTCTGATTCCCCTGTAGATGAATAAATACATGTTTGCAAATTGTTGAAGATCAGGTCCATATGCCTGTGGCAAGAATATTCCCAAAGGAAAAGACAATCAAGGGTAAACCTACTATTGTCCACTATAAATGTCTGTGTGAATAAAGCATATTCCTCCTGACTTATGCAAGATTTTACCTTATTTGGAAATGGAAATTTGCTTGGTTCCACTTTCCCAGGTGGCTGAATAGCAGAAAGTGGTGGAAGCCAGGTCATCTCCTAAAGGGGAGAGGGAAACCAATATTGTGATATAGATAGTATTGAAAGTCAGTAGCATATAAAACAGCTACACAAACAGGGCTCATGTTGATAAGGAATGAAAGGGTTGCCTTTGAAATATGTGACACACTTTTATGACCTTGTTTCCTAATTTTACCAATTTTGGTTCCATAATCATGCTCATTTCCTCCACCAAGATTGCAAACTAACAAGTCCAACCCTTATACCTTAGTGTGATCTACAAGGCTGACCTATTTTCACTTGATTTAAGTCTCTGAGCACAGGGACAACCCAAGTAAAAGTTCTATTGAAAATGCCATAAAAGAGAGCAGCTTCTTTTGGACTTGATTCCACAAAACTCATAGGGTGTTTTTGAAGGAACATATACAGTGCTTTCAACTTTAAGAATCTTCATTAGAGGAGTTATTTATACTATTAGAGATAAAGTATGAGTTTCCAATAAGCTCCACACATCGCTTTGGTCTTGATAAAAATGTCATTCATGGAGGAAACAAAAAACAAATCATACCTATGAAATACATAGAAATAGTGTCATTGTTATGACACAGTATTAAGGACACAACTTCAGATTAACATGTAATAATTCATCATATGCTTGTTGACATACACTTTCACTAAGCTGTGAGAAAGGGAAACAGCAAGAGGCTGTTTTATTTACTTCCACAATGATTTTTCAGTTCTATCTCCTGGAATATAGATGCAGTCAATAAACTCTTTAGAATTACACTGAGTTGATTTCTGATTGACCTGGGAACCAACTGGGAGTTTACAAATAGGTTCTGAACCTTATTTCTTGGTTTCCTTCCACTTCCAAACCTAAGCAAGCATAGTAGTTGACCCACTTGAAGAAAAATGAGAAATTAACTTTTTAGGTGAAGACACTTCCTCACCTCCTTTTATGACGAAGGGGAGGATGTTGTAATGGGATTGTGTGAGATACTGAAGTGAAAGAGTTTCTTAAGGACTGTCTTGTGCCTTCCTTCCTTGGGTAAATCTCTTCCCCTGGCACTTCAGATGGTACAGAATCCACCATCTGGTTCTCCCAGAACCCAGATGGTACAGGGAGCAGAGGGAGGAGGAGTGTGTTCAAATCCACCCTGGAAGCATTTACTGACTTGACATTCTCTCCCTCCTACCATGACACATGTGCCGTAGGTGGGTTAAGCATTCAAAATGTCCCCTCTCCATTCTGCTGTAACCAATGTTTCCTCACTGGCAAACAAAGGACTCAGTGACCTCTTATTCCCTCTCTCTTCCCACCTCTTTTCCATATATATATATATGTTGTTGTTGTTATGTGCCGTCGAGTTGGCCCCAACTCATAGCGACCCCTCCTTGGGTTTACCAGCACCCTATTATCCCTTTTGAGGAGGTTCTTAAGCGGCAATGTGCTAAGCATGAATTTGTATCAAGTATGGCATCTTTGTCATATTGGGACCCAAGCTACCACTCGTCATTCTCAAAGTTGGGCCATCCTTTTCTAGGAACTGGTCATAGTCTACCTAGATTGATGCTACCCTATTAAGAAGGCTATGAAGACTTAAAATGGTTTTTCTTTGGTTTCTTAATCCTTTTCTACAATTTGGCTCTCCCATAGAGCTCCTTCTCCCTTTTCCTCCACAGCTTCAGATTTTCCTCTTTGCTTTAAATGACTGCTAGGATATGTATGTCTTTATTGTCAGTGGCCTCAAATCCTATGTAGAAGGAAGTTAGTTATCAACTAAAAAGAGAACCAATTGTTCTTTTCCTTCTGTGTTAACCATCTATGTATCCATTTCTCTTCCAAGGTGTCCCATTTCTCTTCCAAGGTGTCCCACTAATAATCACCCATGCAGTAGCAACCTCTGCAATCATTCTGTGGCTTACACAGTTTAGACTATGTAATCCTGAGGGGCCAAAATTGATAAACACAAATCCAAGATTAAACATCAGACTTATACATATAACCTCAATTTGTCAATGTTCATTTTGCATAAATTATATTAGTGATTCCATCTGTATATTAGAATGCCTTATATGCATGCATTTTGTGCCAGATTTTACAAACATTTTAAACAAATTTACAATTTCTGTGTGCCCTACAGCTACTCAGGAACAAATAATAAGTCCATAAAAATATAAATGATAGTACTTAAAAAATACTTTGCAGATCAACCTCTTTCTATAACTGGTACTTTCAAGGTAAATGTGTTCAATACACTATTTTACCAAGGGTTACATAGCAGAAAATTTTAACAAACAACTTGGTTGTGATGCTTAAGGGCAGATACTGTGTCCTCTGATCTTGGTATCTTACGCAGAGTCCAGTCCCAAGCACCACTCCTTTCCACAACAAATATTTACTGAGGACTTACCATTAGCCAGGCACTGTGACTGTGCCTTATACATGCCAGATGCTCAACTGAGTATGTACTGAATTGAAAGTTAGGGTAATAGTGCTGGCTATGTCTACTATATAGATTTTTTCTTTAATCCCAGCTATATCCCCAATGCTTACACACCCATGTGGTTTCGGATCCTCAGTTCCTTTCTTCATCTCATTAAAAGATGAACTGCCAATAGGGCAACTTTCTTTCTGTTCATTAACCAACCAACCAATCAACCAGTTGCCGTCAAGTCAATTCATACTCATGGTGACCCCATGTGTTTCAGAGCAGAAACGTGCTCCATATGGTTTTCAGTGGCTGTGATGTTTCAAAAGTAGATTTCTACGATTTTGTTCTAAGCCACACCACCCCTTGAAACTGCCTAATGGCTCCAATCAAACCCTTACTTTCCCTATATATATTATTCTCCTATTAATTTTTAAGAGCAAATTGTGGAAACCCCAAGCATTTGACTAGATTTTCTTCTTCTGAGCCCATCTTTGCTCTACCTTCTTGACCTGGTCTTTTTCTGAGCCTATCTTTACTTCACCATGAACCTTTGGCTCCACAACCCCGACTTTAACTTAGAACTCTGGACATCTATCTTAAAGAATCTTGGCTCTCCTCAATATACTCTGAGATGGCTCACTCCTTGGGGTCTCCAAGCCCCATCTCCCAGGTAAAAGCTGGTATACTAAATTACTCTTGATATCACACTACCAACACTAATCATCTGACATCTTAGATGGGCTTATCCAAAGTTCTCCCACACAGTGGGGGATCAGACACTCTTAGGTACACTACAAATCCTCCTAAAGTCTCCAATTTTGGAGCAAACTCCCATTCTGGTTTCTCTGATCCTATAGTTGGGCCACTTAGGAAAAGCTGTGCACATTAGTGGTAACACAGAAGACAGACACAGGATTCTCCCAATGTTGCTTGAGTAGTCCTTGCAATTGTGCCTGGTCTGTTCCCTCTTCCAGGTTTCTCGGATATTATTCCCACATTCTGTCACCATCCTTGAGCCTCATTTTGGTTCTCACCCTATCACAACAAGGGACCTTGAATCCTATGTCTTCAAAAACATCAAAGGTTATTAGGTTCTAAATGTGCCAAGGACAAATGTATATTCATGCCAACCCTCCTTTTCTTCTACTGGTCTGACCGGAAGAGATGTATGTCACATGTCACACTGTCCCAGGTTGATCCTCCCTCTATGCCCTCCATCTTGTTTCTTCCTCTGTCCTAAGGGAGCTAGTTGCATCAATATCACTCCTTGTCCACTGGCTTCTTTCCCACACACCTATAAATAATCTCAAGCCTCAAATCCTTCTAGATCCTGCATCCCTCCTTAACCTCTTCTTTACTTCTCTATTTCTATTGCAATAACCAACTTTCTCAAGTAAGTCTCTACATTTACAATTTTGACATTTACATTTTTGATATCATTATTTGTGTGCCTCGGAAGGAAGGCTGGGCAATCTACTACCGTAGTGATACTGCCTCGGCAACCCAAGGAGGGATCGCTATGAGTCGGGTCCGACTTGACGGAACATAAAAACAACAACAATTTGTGTGTCTGAATTATACATATAGGAGTGCACACAATAAGTGTACATAAGGGCCTGGAGCTCTGCTTCTAAAAGGTCATAGTCATGACAACCCCGTGGAGTACAGTTCTACTGGCAGCACACGGAGTCATCATGAGTCAGAATCAACTTGACAGCAACAGTTTAAGAGTAATAAAATGGATACGTGTGAACCCATGACCCACCTTCACATTACCAATATCTTATCATCCACTATTCAACAGAACTAGGTCTGACAAAGGTCACTCTGATTGACAAGTTCACTGGATTCTACTGAATGTTCGTTTCTTCCTGAAATCCTACCCCGGCTCCCATGATGCTGTGCCCTCATGGCTCATTCTCTGAGATTTCCCCCCTTGTTCTTCTTCTTCTTCTTCTTTTTTTTTTTTTTGCTGAACCATATTTCTCTCACTATTTCATTAACATTTTGTGTTCACTCTTTTTCTCACTATCTCCTCCCCCTGGGTGATCTCACGTATTCCCGTGGCTTTAAAAGCCATCTAGAATGCAGATCAGATCCAAATTCATACCTAGCTCTTAACTTCCCACTCTGAAATGTCTGCTGAACCTTTCAACCTGGGTGTTCTACTGTCAATTCAAACCTAACATGTTTAAAACTGAATTTCTACTCCCCACAAACCTTTTCCTCTTCTTGTATTTTATATTTTGATGAATGTCACCAACATCTATTAACTATTCAAGTTAGACGTCTTGGAGTCACGCTAGACTCCTTCTCTTTCATCCTCCTCCCAATAATAACAGTAACTTACATTTATTAAGTGCTTAAAATATACCATACGCTGTTTTAAAGGTTTTATTTAATGTAATTCTCATAACAATCCCGACAGCTAGGATTTATTATTTCCTTATTTTATACATATCACTTCGAGGTTAAGTGACTTGCTAGAGGTCACCCAGCAGTCTAATTTACCATATGCTTGGCTGGCTCTAAACATTTTAGGAGTGCATTCAAGATTGTGCATATTCTAGCTAAGGCCTAACCACTACTTTCACTGCTATCCCA